AATGGAATGCATTAGGCAATGACGTGGTGGAGGCTGACTCCATACACAGTTTCAAATATAGTTATGATAGAGCCAAATAGCCTCAGGAACCTGTACACAAGTTGATAGACATTTCGAGAGGCGGAACCAAAGTGCCGAAACTCAACCCCCGCAAGCACAACTAGGTGATTGGATACACACAAGTACGTCGTTGCTCGCTGAAGATAGTTGCAGACTCGCTGCTCGGCTCGTAACAGCAAACCGTGCCACCGAATGACTCAGCCAACACCAAAACACTTCAACGAACGTTGAACTGAGTTCTGGTGATTAAGGAAGGCTGGTCCGGAAGTGGTAGACAATGGTATCAAGTTGAGGAACAACAGGAGATACTCTAGTGAACAACAGGAGATACTCTAGTGAACAACAGGAGATACTCTAGCGAACAACAGGAGATACTCTAGTGAACAACAGGAGATACTCTAGTGAACAACAGGAGACAATATAGTGAACAACAGGAGATACTCTAGTGAACAACAGGAGACACTCTAGTGAACAACAGGAGATACTCTAGCGAACAACAGGAGATACTCTAGCGAACAACAGGAGATACTCTAGTGAACAACAGGAGACAATATAGTGAACAACAGGAGATACTCTAGTGAACAACAGGAGATACTCTAGTGAACAACAGGAGACACTCTAGTGAACAACAGGAGATACTCTAGTGAACAACAGGAGATACTCTAGCGAACAACAGGAGATACTCTAGCGAACAACAGGAGATACTCTAGTGAACAACAGGAGATACTCTAGTGAACAACAGGAGATACTCTAGTGAACAACAGGAGACACTCTAGTGAACAACAGGAGATACTCTAGCGAACAACAGGAGATACTCTAGCGAACAACAGGAGATACTCTAGTGAACAACAGGAGACAATATAGTGAACAACAGGAGATACTCTAGTGAACAACAGGAGATACTCTAGTGAACAACAGGAGACAATATAGTGAACAACAGGAGATACTCTAGTGAACAACAGGAGATACTCTAGTGAACAACAGGAGATACTCTAGTGAACAACAGGAGATACTCTAGTGAACAACAGGAGACAATATAGTGAACAACAGGAGATACTCTAGTGAACAACAGGAGATACTCTAGTGAACAACAGGAGATACTCTAGCGAACAACAGGAGATACTCTAGTGAACAACAGGAGATACTCTAGCGAACAACAGGAGATACTCTAGCGAACAACAGGAGATACTCTAGTGAACAACAGGAGATACTCTAGCGAACAACAGGAGACAATATAGTGAACAACAGGAGATACTCTAGTGAACAACAGGAGATACTCTAGTGAACAACAGGAGATACTCTAGTGAACAACAGGAGACAATATAGTGAACAACAGGAGATACTCTAGTGAACAACAGGAGATACTCTAGTGAACAACAGGAGACAATATAGTGAACAACAGGAGATACTCTAGTGAACAACAGGAGACAATATAGTGAACAACAGGAGATACTCTAGTGAACAACAGGAGATACTCTAGTGAACAACAGGAGATACTCTAGTGAACAACAGGAGACAATATAGTGAACAACAGGAGATACTCTAGTGAACAACAGGAGATACTCTAGTGAACAACAGGAGACAATATAGTGAACAACAGGAGATACTCTAGTGAACAACAGGAGACACTCTAGTGAACAACAGGAGATACTCAAGTGAACAACAGGAGATACTCTAGTGAACAACAGGAGATACTCAAGTGAACAACAGGAGATACTCAAGTGAACAACAGGAGATACTCTAGTGAACAACAGGAGGTACTCAAGTGAACAACAGGAGATACTCAAGTGAACAACAGGAGACACTCAAGTGAACAACAGGAGATACTCTAGTGAACAACAGGAGACACTCTAGTGAACAACAGGAGATACTCTAGTGAACAACAGGAGATACTCTAGTGAACAACAGGAGACACTCAGAACAACAGGAGACACTCAGAACAACAGGAGACACTCAGAACAACAGGAGACACTCAGAACAACAGGAGACACTCAGAACAACAGGAGACACTCAGAACAACAGGAGACACTCAGAACAACAGGAGATACTCTAGTGAACAACAGGAGATACTCAAGTGAACAACAGGAGATACTCTAGTGAACAACAGGAGATACTCAAGTGAACAACAGGAGATACTCAAGTGAACAACAGGAGATACTCTAGTGAACAACAGGAGATACTCTAGTGAACAACAGGAGATACTCAAGTGAACAACAGGAGACACTCAAGTGAACAACAGGAGATACTCTAGTGAACAACAGGAGACAATATAGTGAACAACAGGAGATACTCTAGTGAACAACAGGAGACAATATAGTGAACAACAGGAGATACTCTAGTGAACAACAGGAGATACTCTAGTGAACAACAGGAGATACTCTAGTGAACAACAGGAGACAATATAGTGAACAACAGGAGATACTCTAGTGAACAACAGGAGATACTCTAGTGAACAACAGGAGACAATATAGTGAACAACAGGAGATACTCTAGTGAACAACAGGAGACACTCTAGTGAACAACAGGAGATACTCAAGTGAACAACAGGAGATACTCTAGTGAACAACAGGAGATACTCAAGTGAACAACAGGAGATACTCAAGTGAACAACAGGAGATACTCTAGTGAACAACAGGAGATACTCAAGTGAACAACAGGAGATACTCAAGTGAACAACAGGAGATACTCTAGTGAACAACAGGAGATACTCAAGTGAACAACAGGAGATACTCAAGTGAACAACAGGAGATACTCTAGTGAACAACAGGAGATACTCAAGTGAACAACAGGAGATACTCTAGTGAACAACAGGAGATACTCTAGTGAACAACAGGAGACAATATAGTGAACAACAGGAGATACTCTAGTGAACAACAGGAGACAATATAGTGAACAACAGGAGATACTCTAGTGAACAACAGGAGATACTCTAGTGAACAACAGGAGATACTCTAGTGAACAACAGGAGACAATATAGTGAACAACAGGAGATACTCTAGTGAACAACAGGAGACAATATAGTGAACAACAGGAGACAATATAGTGAACAACAGGAGATACTCTAGTGAACAACAGGAGACACTCTAGTGAACAACAGGAGATACTCTAGTGAACAACAGGAGACAATATAGTGAACAACAGGAGATACTCTAGCGAACAACAGGAGATACTCTAGTGAACAACAGGAGACAATATAGTGAACAACAGGAGATACTCTAGTGAACAACAGGAGACAATATAGTGAACAACAGGAGATACTCTAGTGAACAACAGGAGATACTCTAGTGAACAACAGGAGATACTCTAGTGAACAACAGGAGACAATATAGTGAACAACAGGAGATACTCTAGTGAACAACAGGAGACACTCTAGTGAACAACAGGAGATACTCTAGTGAACAACAGGAGACAATATAGTGAACAACAGGAGATACTCTAGCGAACAACAGGAGATACTCTAGTGAACAACAGGAGATACTCTAGCGAACAACAGGAGATACTCTAGTGAACAACAGGAGATACTCTAGTGAACAACAGGAGACAATATAGTGAACAACAGGAGATACTCTAGTGAACAACAGGAGATACTCTAGCGAACAACAGGAGATACTCTAGTGAACAACAGGAGATACTCTAGTGAACAACAGGAGACAATATAGTGAACAACAGGAGATACTCTAGTGAACAACAGGAGATACTCTAGTGAACAACAGGAGACAATATAGCGAACAACAGGAGATACTCTAGTGAACAACAGGAGATACTCTAGTGAACAACAGGAGATACTCTAGTGAACAACAGGAGATACTCTAGTGAACAACAGGAGACACTCCGGAAGATATTCCACGTGAACAACAGAATTAAACAGTACCTTGGGGATGAAGCGGGACCTTGGGGGATGAAGCAGTACCTTGGGGATGAAGCGGGACCTTGGGGGATGAAGCAGTACCTTGGGAATGAACCGGTACCTTGGGGATGAAGCGGTACCTTGGGGATGAAGCGGTACCTTGGGGATGAAGCGGTACCTTGGGGATGAAGCGGTACCTTGGGGATGAAGCAGTACTTTGGGGGATGAAGCAGTACCTTGGGGATGAAGCAGTACCTTGGGGATGAAGCAGTACCTTGGGGATGAAGCGGTACCTTGGGGATGAAGCGGTACCTTGGGGATGAAGCGGTACCTTGGGGATGAAGCAGTACCTTGGGGGATGAAGCAGTACCTTGGGGATGAAGCGGTACCTTGGGGGATGAAGCAGTACCTTGGGGATGAAGCAGTACCTTGGGGATGAAGCGGTACCTTGGGGATGAAGCGGTACCTTGGGGATGAAGCAGTACCTTGGGGATGAAGCAGTACCTTGGGGATGAAGCAGTACCTTGGGGATGAAGCGGTACCTTGGGGATGAAGCAATACCTTGGGGATGAAGTGGTACCTTGGGGATGAAGCAGTACCTTGGGGATGAAGCAGTACCTTGGGGATGAAGCGTTACCTTGGGGATGAACCAGTACCTTGGGGATGAAGCAGTACCTAGGGGATGAAGCAGTACCTTGGGGATGAAGCATTACCTTGGGGATGAACCAGTACCTTGGGGATGAAGCAGTACCTAGGGGATGAAGCAGTACCTTGGGGATGAAGCAGTACCTTGGGGATGAAGCAGTACCTTGGGGATGAAGCATTACCTTGGGGATGAAGCAGTACCTAGGGGATGAAGCAGTACCTTGGGGATGAAGCAGTACCTTGGGGATGAAGCATTACCTTGGGGATGAAGCAGTACCTTGGGGATGAAGCAGTACCTTGGGGATGAAGCAGTACCTAGGGGATGAAGCAGTACCTTGGGGATGAAGCATTACCTTGGGGATGAAGCAGTACCTTGGGGATGAAGCAGTACCTAGGGGATGAAGCAGTACCTTGGGGATGAAGCATTACCTTGGGGATGAACCAGTACCTTGGGGATGAAGCAGTACATAGCCCGGTGGCGGTCATCAACCAAGAGTCGGGTCAGCCTGGGCTCAGAGATTAGGACCTGCCTCAGCTCCGAGGCCGGGTTCGTGCCCCTGCAGCCCGACCTCACAGAATTGCGTCTTTTCTCCTGCTCTGCCTCCCACTCAGCACCTCCCCGACGGACCGATGCTCCTTCCCGACGGACCGGTTTTCCTCCCCGTCGGACAGCATCACCGTCGTCTGTTCGTGGAGAAGCAGCACAAGGATCATTACCGCTCGAATCAGGACGTCCGAACGCATGGCGGGAAGAATAAAATTGGAGAGAGGACGAAAGAAAACGAAGAATATAATTGACTGAGGTATACTCAACCTTTTGTTCTAATTGATTGACATTTGTATGTATACAAGATATATATTTTTCATCAAGACAAGAAGTTCGTAACTATGTGCTTGATTACAAAGCAAATAATAACGTTATTTATAACTAAAACTCACGAATAAAAGATGTGTATTCGACCAGAACGGGATAATCAATGGGGTCGTCCCTGTGGCTTCACGCGACCGTTGGTGAAGAACTGTGTAAATTGTCGAGGGGTGACTCAACAAGATCAGGGAGAGAAGCTTCTACTTACCGTTGGATGGGGACGGGTTGGGGTGCCTGGTCGGGTGCAGCCTGTGGGAAGATGAAGGTTAGGTGAAGGTGATGGGGAAATGGGAAGTGTCCATGTCATTCTGTGCTCGCACACGCACGCACACGCACGCACACGCGCGCACACACACACACAGACACACACACACACACACACACACTTGAACCATTGAACAATAGCAGGCCCAGACAGCAGTATAATCAAATCAAATCAAATGTTTATTCAGTTAAAAGTACATACATAGAGGATTAGTTACAAACATAATGTTGGATTTATAGATAGAGCTAGTACATACAATACCTAAAGCCACTAGTACGTATAGCGTTTCGGGCAAGGTGAGGTGGGGGAAAAAACACTTAAACTAAAACTTAATAGTAATTGAGCTTAAAGTATAAATTGCGTTGAAAGAAAAAAATAAAAGATAGAAAAGGGGGGAACATGGTAGAAAATAGCCAATATACAAGTTGGTCAACAAACAGCATTGTTTAAAAATATTAAGACATGGGTTGACATTTAGAGGTAAGGTAGGTTACATGGAGTTAATTAGGTAGTACTTAGTTTTCATCTTAAACTGGTTGAGAGAGGTACAGTCTTTGACATGATTGGGAAGGTCATTCCACATTCTGGGTCCCTTGATTTGTAGAGCATTTCTAGTTTGATTTAGCCGTACTCTTGGAATATCAAATAGGTATTTGTTTCTGGTGTGGTGCCCATGAGTTCTGTTACAACCTTCTAAGAAGCTTTTAAAGTCAGGATTGACATTACAGTTCAGAGTTTGAAATATATAGAGTACACATGAGAGGATGTGCAGTGACTTAATATCTAACATATTCAGAGATTAAGAATGAGGTGATTTGATAAAATACCATGCCCAAGATTACCAACAGAGTGCCGGCGGGGGGATGGAGAATTAGCCTCGGCTACCATCCTCTTTTGTCCGGTCGTGTTGGTCGAGTGGTTAAGGGATCCTGTACATCAGTTGCATTGCTTCTGGCAGTATGGGTTCGAGTCACTTCTGGGGTGTGAGTTTTCAGTTGCATATATGCCTGGAGACCGTTCAGGCTTGTTCGTATATATATATATATATATATATATATATATATATATATATATATATATATATATATATATATATATATATATATATATATCCTTGTACCCTGCATGTAATCAATATTGTAACTTTTTTTATGTAATGACATTTTCAAATAAAGTTAGATAAATATACACACATACCAAAAGAATAGGGGTGGTAGGAGAAGAAAATATCAAAGTGTTCAGTGAGGATCCACAAGGTCTTCTCCGAGTACTCTTTATTTTCTTCTCCGAGGCTATGGGTCCCTACACTTGCACCAGAGGTGGTACCCCTTCTATATATTTAAAAGAAAAAATACCACTCCCCACCATCCCCCACTCCCGTCCCCTCGTCCCAACCATCCCAAACTCCACCATCTCCTCGTCCTCCCCATCATTCCCCACTCCCGTCCCCTCGTCCTCCCCACCATTCCCCACTCTCTCGTACGATGGATTATAAATAATCTGATGTTCCCATCAGAAAATTGGGAACATCAAATGATCTTATGTTTCCATGACTGAAAAAAAGGTTAAAAAATGAAATGAAAAACAATGAATAAATAAAAAAATAAACTATACACATCAAATGAACTGTATGGTAAACAACACAGCTCAATTCCAAGGCAATGTCACACCAAATAATTAAATCAAAATGAAAATAAATCAAAATCTATGAAAATTCAATATTTCAATGCAATCGGAAACATTGAAATGGAATCGTAACATATTTAGTATAGCGTGAGTTGCTCTTACGTGCATCAGATGGCGCTTTTTTCAAGAAAAGCATGTTTTTTACCTGTCACAGGTGTGGTATCTATATAGTAGGGATATAAAAACATGCTCGTGTTCGAACGAGACGCTGTGTCAAAATTTTAAAGCAATCGGTGAAGAACTTTTGGAGATTACAGCGTGTGTTGCTCTTACGTCCAACAGATGGCGCTGTGTTTTTTATTTTTTTTAAAGCATGTTATTTCCTGTCACAGGCGAGGCATGTATATAATAGGTATATAAAAACATGCGTCTATTCGAATGCAACGTTATGTCAAAATTTCCAAGCAATCGGTAAAAAGGTTTCAAAGATTTCCCTCACATGAAAAACACAGTTTTTCAAAAAAAGCGTGCTTTTTCCTGTCATAGACCTGACATCTATATAAAATGTATATAAAAACCCGCTCGGATGCGAATGTAACGTTGTGTGAAAATTTCAAAAAAATCGGTGAAGAAATTTCGGAGATTAGCGATTTTGAACAAACGAACATTTCCATTTTTATTTATATAGATTTAATACAAACGGACTATGCCACCATGATTAAAAAAGATGTACAGGTTTCGCAAGTAAACACATTGATGAATACTTCCCGGTCATGTAGCACCGTATAATGAAAGAGGAATGCAACTCGCACTAAGGAAAGTGGACTATGACAAAATTTTATAAATTTCCAAAAATCTGTAATAGAATGTAATGAAAAATATTTCAAGAAATGATAGACTTTATAACCAATAAATGTTCAGCATCTGAGGGGAGATAATCGTCCTCAGTGAGAAATAATAACAAAGAAATCAGCCCATGATTACATAGAGCTGCAAGACCGAGTAAAAGAAAGTTGAGCAACAAGGTGAGGACAAGACACAAGAACTATAGGAGAAACATCACTGCTATAAATTAGCAAGAAATGATAATGTGAAGCTAAAGTCAGCGGTCAGAGAAGCAGTACGAGAACGACAGTGACAAATGACAGAGGGACAACCAACACTGTTGCACTGTCATATAACAATCATAGATTAGTGAATGACCAAGTCATTCATTCATTCATTCACTACACAAAAGGTGGAACACACAGAAAATGACAAGGAAGTGTGTGATGTACTTGAAGTAAGATTTCAGGAATTAAAAGAAAAAAAGTTTGGACAAGTGCAATCAAGAGCTGGAGATAGTTTCTAAGGAGAATTTAGATTACAATTTGTGTAACATTTGCATAGTGTTGAAATAAGGTTAAAACTAGTCATTTTCAAATGTATGTAGCAAGGTTCATTCCAGGACGACGAGGCTTGAGCTATTAGGAAAGGCTTTGGAAACTGAATCTCATCACAATTTGAAAAAAAAGAGACTGGTTATCTACTTCTCTAGCTGTCTCTGAATGCGTTATGTATCTGTTTTTCTGTCTTTCACCGTTTAATTTCCTCTCTAAATCTGTCTTCCTCTCGGTCTCTGTCTTACAGCCTATCGCTGTCTGCGTGTCTATGTCTATTGTATTCCAGCTTCAGTGTCTGCTTATATGTTTGTCTCTCTGATGTTTTCCCCTTTCCATTCCTTTTTAACAAATAAAATACATTCCAGTTTTCCTGTTATGGATTGGAGCGAGCTGAGAGTGAGATGAGTTCCTTGAGGACCTGGCAGCCCCTACATCTCCCTTAATCCCTGATCAAATAGGTCGCCTATTGCAATTAATAACAAAGTATGATACAATTTTGTTTCTATATTTGCCATTGGTGCGTTGAACCTCGAAAAGACAGACATTGTATTCTATAGATATAGATAACTACAAATTATTTTCAGAGATTTATCAAATCATTTGATTATTTAAAAAAGAACTACTTATTGCCAGGGGCCAGATTCACGAAAGCACTTACGCAAGCACCTACGAACGTGTACATCTTTCCTCAATCTTTGACGGCTTTGGTTACATTTATTAAACAGTTTACAAGCATTCAACTGTTGTTATTGTTATAAACAGCCTCCTGGAGCTTCGGAGCTCATTAACTGTTAAATAATTGGAAACAAAGCCGCCAAAGATTGAGAAAAGATGTACAGGTTCGTAAGTGCTTTCGTGAATCTGGCCCCAGAGCCCTAAACACCACACTCACCACAAGGTTCCCAAAATCGCAACAGACATGACGAAATACACCTTGAGGAGCCGCCGCATGACGGACACAGACTAGCAACTCGACCACAGTACTGCACTTGACTTTGTAACGCGGAGCAGGCCACAGTTGCCAGACACAACTATAGGGAAAAAATTAAACACAATGGGAACTTTGAATCAGTTTTATGCTTGAAGCATAACAATTAATATATCATTTGATATAATTACCAGTAATACAAAGTTATATAAGATGATGACCAGACCACACACTAGAAGGTGAAGGGACGACGACGTTTCGGTCCGTCCTGGACCATTCTCAAGTCGATTGTGATGAGGAAGTTGTTGTTGTTGTTGTTATAGATTGAGCTACTCGGAACAAGTTGCAAGTAGCACGGGCTATGGTGAGCCCGTAGTGGACTTACCTGGCACAGGAGCGGCAAGTAGCACGGGCTATGGTGAGCCCGTAGTGGTCTCACCTGGCACAGGAGCGGCAAGTAGCACGGGCTATGGTGAGCCCGTAGTGGACTTACCTGGCACAGGAGCGGGGCAAGTAGCACGGGCTATGGTGAGCCCGTAGTGGACTTACCTGGCACAGGAGCGGGGCAAGTAGCACGGGCTATGGTGAGCCCGTAGTGGACTTACCTGGCACAGGAGCGGGGCAAGTAGCACGGGCTATGGTGAGCCCGTAGTGGACTTACCTGGCACAGGAGCGGGGCAAGTAGCACGGGCTATGGTGAGCCCGTAGTGGACTTACCTGGCACAGGAGCGGGGCAAGTAGCACGGGCTATGGTGAGCCCGTAGTGGACTTACCTGGCACAGGAGCGGGGCTGAATGTGCTGTGTGAGCTTCTTAGCCCCCGGATGAGAAAGATTGATTGATAAAGATTAAGCCACCCAAGAGGTGGCACGGGCATGAATAGCCCGTAAGGGATGAAAAAGTAAATGCAGGCAATAAATAGGCTAGAGAGAGGTGAGGAGCAAAGTGTAGTAGAGGGGAGAGTAGTAAGAACTGCAGAGGGCCTATTGGCCCATACGAGGCAGCTCCTATTATAACCACCGAATGAGACGGAGATAGTAATAGGAATAAGAAGAGGATAGTAAGGGAACGTAAAGACAACAATGAACAGAAAAGAGAGAATAAAAAGGAAAGAGAAAGAAAGATAAATGGAAGGGTAAGCTTATGTTAGGTCCCGTTTGTTAGAAAGATTAGAGCATCTAAGTATATACTATCAAAGGGAAGAGTCAACAGCAACAAAGCCAGGACTCAAGTTCATGTTGGGTACATTGTGTATAAGAGCCGATTCTACAAGACGACGTCTGTGTAGAGGCAGGAAAGATTATTTTCCTTACTACTATCCCCTCTACTACACTTTGCTCCTCACCTTTCTCTAGCCTATTTATTGCCTGCATTTACTTCCTCATCACTCGGGAGACATCTCCGGTCACGCAGGGTGCAGCCGCACCTCCACAGATCTCCAGTATTGATACTGGTAATGGCTCAAAAGGGCCACCACTTACGGGCTATTCATGCCCGTGCCACCTTTTGGGTGGTTTAACCTTCATCATCATCATCATCATTCCTCATCACAATCGACTTGAGAATGGTCCAGGACGGACCGAAACGTCGTCGTCCCTTCACCTTCTAGTGTGTGGTCTGGTCATCATACTTTAGCCACGTTATTGTGACTCATCGCCTGCATAAAGTTATATAAATTTCTAATTTATTTGTAATTTAATAGTATTGCAAAGTGTGTGTGTATAACAGGGCGCCTCCGACCGGCAGACCACCTACATGCCAATTGGAGACATATTATTTTTATAAGAGAGAGCTAGAGACAGCGAGATAGTGAACAAACAGAAACAGAGACAGACAGAAAGAGATAAACATACAGACAAATACAGAGATAGAGAGGCTAACAAAGAGACCAGGTCGACCAGAGCAAAGAAGCAGGAAGACAAACAGGAAAACAATGACAGACAAACAACAACAGAGAGACAGATAGCAGCAGACGGAGAAATAGACTGACAACTGAGTTGACAGCGCCCGGGATTCGTAATCCTATGGTCCGGGGGATCGATCCCGGCGATGGCGGAAACAAATGGGGCAGAATTTCTTTCACCCTGCTGGTCTGTTCACCTAGCAGTAAATATTTACCTGGGAGTTAGACAGCTGCTACGGGCTGCCTCCTGTGGGTATGTGTGTGTGAGTGAGTGGAAAAAACTGCCGATTGATTGACAGTTGAGAGGCGGGCCCAAAGAACCAGAGCTCAACCCCCGCAAGCACAGGTACGTGAGTACAGAGATAGACAGGAAGAAGGGGATTTTTGAAGAGAAGTAAGAAGAAGTGGATATTTGAAGAGGGGGGAGGAGAGAGGGAGGGAGACAGGTGGAGAGGGTTGAAGAAGAGAAGGGGGAAGCGGTGACAGTTTGAGAGTGAAGAGAGGGGCGAGAAGTGTGAGATGAGTGGGGGAGGAGGAGGAGGTACCCGACATTGTCTGGGTCTGTCTGAATGTATACTTGTATTCCCCCTCCCTCTTTCTCTGTCTCTCTATCTCTGTATCTTTATCATTGTATTTATATCTCTCTCTTTATATCTATGTGTGTTTATCTGTTTACCTATATATCTATTTATCTATTTATTAATCTCTCTCTACCTATCTACCAATTTATCTCTCTTATAAAAATAAAAAATATTCTTATAAAAATAAATCGTGTCGTCCCAAGATATACCTGTGGAACATGAAGGTGAAAATTGTGTCGAAATAGCTCAGGATCTCTTAAAAAACAAATTGCAGCTCAGTCTAAACAAAACTGACGTTATTGCTGCCTACAGAGTAGGCAAAAAGAATCCATCAGGTCTAAACCAACGGAAAATTCGCCTGAAGCTGTCTTCCCAGTTCACGAAATCCCATCTAGTCCGGACAGCTGCATCCCAACGGAAGGGATTATACATCAACGAGTGCTTGACCAGGAACAGACAGCACCTCCTCTACCGCCTGCGTCAAATCCGTCAACAAAACCCAGATGCGATTCATCAGTGCTTCGTTAGAGATGGTCTGATAAAGGTGAGAAAAACCGCAGAGGGCAAAATGTTCACAATTACTAAAGAAGAAAACCTCAACACTTTCCTCTCCCAATGTGGTCTGTCTCGCCTTATCACTCCCAATGAATTAACTTAATTAACCCCCTGTCAACTAGTGGGGCTAGGTATCCTAAGTCTCCTTGGTTCATTTTCTGACTTAATTTTTAACTTACTCTTACCTAGTCATTTACCGAAATTATTTAATTGAGTGCATTAAGTAGTTCTTCAGGTCTTTTTAATTATACAGTCATTACTGAACTATCTATAGTTATTAATCATTAGCTTAAATTTGCCTATGTTTATTATTCAACTTTTCTTTGATTTCATTTATTACCTAGGTTGCCTAGCCTCGCCATGCTCCCTTACTCCATTGTACCCCTGGCTTTGCCTGCATCTCAAATTGCAAATTGTTACTTACAGTGAACCTGAGAGTACTCGTAAGCAATCTACCTCATTTTTTTTCATTTTTGCTCAATTTGTTTTTTGTATTGCTTAGTCTTGCTCATATTTTTTTTGTTTTGTATTTCTATATCTTGTGTTTTGTATAGTCCATGTTTATATGTTTATTCTTTAATCTCATTTATTGCCTTGGTTGCCTAGCCTAGCCATACTCCCTTACTCCATTGTACCCCTGTAAGCCCCTTTTGTGTTTGTTTTGTACAGTATTGTGTATATATTTTTCCCTATTTTATAGCTTATTTCTACTTATTTCTGATTCTGCAATCAGCTTTTTTATGCAGACAAGTATAGACCCAGAACTTAACCTCTTATCCACTATCTATGACAATAATCACTTTAATGATCAAAATTGCAGATATTTTGCAGCACATGATGTAAACAATGTATTAACTCATAATCACAATATCTCTGTAATCAATTTGAACGTTAGATCCCTAGGTAAACACTTCGATGATGTTAGTGCCTTTATTGAAACTATTGGCAACAAATTCTCTTTTATTATACTTACTGAAACATGGTTGAAAGAGGATACTACTCAACTCTTTAACATGCCTAACTACTCAGCAATTCACAACTGTCGTCAACTTCAGAGAGGTGGTGGCACTGCTCTTTACTACCACCAAGAACTAACATGCTTAAAAGAAATTAGAACTAGAGACTGCTATGGGGAGTATATCTTCGCCAGCTTCAGAGTCAAGGGTGCCGAGTCTGTCCTGTCTGTGGGTGCAGTCTATAGAATTCCCAACACTGATGTGTCTGAATTCAACTCAAACCTTAGAAATCTAATACTTGATAACAGACTGAACAAAAACCACCTAATTATCGCAGGGGACTTTAATATTGACCTCTGCGAGCCAGAACACCCTACTGCTGTTAGCTTCCTCAACTGTATGAATTCCTGCTTCCTCATACCCTTAATCACTAGACCTACTAGAATCACTGATAGCACTGCCACGACTCTAGATCACATCTGGACCAACATAACCTCTCCGCTTACTTCAGGTATAATCACCGATAGCACTACAGACCATTACCCCACATTTCTCTTAACTAACATTAGCAAACCACCTCTAGAAACAAGGGAGTTAAGCTTTAGGCTGCACAATGAAACTGCTATAAACAATTTTATAACTGCTGCTGATAATGTCAACTGGGAGTCCGAGTTAGGTAACATAGGGGACATCAACCTAGCAGTGCAATCTTTTCTACAAACAACTCTTAGCCTTTATAACACCCACTGTCCTAGGCTTACAAAACAAGTCACAAGCAAAAGGCTTAACAATCCTTGGCTTACAAAGGGAATACTGAAATCCATTAACAAAAAACACGACCTTGAGAAGAAGTATAGGTTAGGAATTGTCTCCAAAGAATTCTCAAAGAATTACTCATTATTGCTATCTAAGATAATTAGACGAGCCAAAACTAAATACTACGAAGATAAATTTACCCAAATAAAGAGCAACATTAAACAAACTTGGAGCACAATTTCACAAATATTGGGATCAAAGAAATCTTTAAAT